TTGCTGATTCCAGAGTCAGAATAATGGAGAGGGATAGGCTGTTAAATGGAATATTTATTTACTTCACAGACATCAGAGCTATCTGTGACTGTCATTGTAAGACAAAAAGATTGTCTCAATACAAAGATCTTAACCATATACCATCATATGGCAAAGCCTCAACAATCCAGAAGCCTGCTGTATTTAACTGTCTACAGGATTAACAGTAGTTGTCAATCAATGTCAATGGCAGCAACTCCCTTAACACAGGAAGTACAATTCCTTAACAGTGTAAGTAATTTGCCAGGCCTCAGGATGTAATTACATTAAACAAAGAGTTACGTTCTTCTGCTGATGAATGGAAACATGCTGTAGCTGAAAGCAACCCAAGCTAGCCAATTCCAATGAGAGCTCCCCTCTGCATTTTAAGATGGATGTCATTAGCTCACAGAAGATTAACTTCTCCATTTATATTTTAATTCTCCTTCCTGATTAAAAAAAAAAAAAACTGGAGTTTTTCATATATACTTTTTCCTGCTTAATCCAATATTGGGAGTTTCAGTCAATGTGAAGGGAATAATTAACAAATTGTAGAGATTCCCAAAACTGAAAGTAGGAGTCCAAGATGTTTCACCTTTGTTTCAAGTACTTCTGAGTTACACTGACAGTCCTTGGTGTACCGCAAAGGGAACTGAAAGGCAATGTACAGATCAGTCCTGTACACAGGAGGTGTTCTCGTGCAATTTGTGAAATCCACAGTTCATATGAAGAGAAAGCATGCAGCAAGATGCCTTAGTAAGGCTCCTAGAGATGTCACACTTGTGACAGAGGGAGGTGTACATGCAGAGGTCAGACGACAATGTTGAGAGAGTTGGTTCTCTGCTTCTACCAGGTGAGTCCCAGGAATCAAATTCAGGTCATCAGGCTTGGATGTACCTGTAGCCACTGATCCATCTCTCCAGCCCAATCACTCCTTCTTTAAAGCATGCTTAGGCGCTCCTAGAAACTGCTGCATAAGTGAGCTATCCACATGGTAAAACCTTAATTTACAAACCAAATATATTCTCTCAATCAGATATAAACCTGTTTTCAACACAAAAATAAGAGGATCTCATTCAGTATCTTATCATTATAAATTGTATTTCAGAAACAATAGCTTTGCATTGACCATTTTAACAAGTTTCAATGTTCAAGTTTAATAAGCTTTCCACAACTAGACAGCAAAATATGGTTACCCAAAGAAACATATCAAAATGAATCAAGGAAATATTTGCAAATTACAGGTTTTGTAAACTGTACTTACAGCCTACCATATCAAGTTTTAACACCACCTTCTAATTTTATTAATATATATTTTCCATCTTAAACATGCAGGTCCACACAAACCATCTCCCTAGAATACCACCATCTAGTCAGCAAAGGGGGAAATGCATGGGGTTGGGGGGTGTGGACAGTATTAAATCTAACAGAGCTGGGTACAAAGCTCATCTCTGTGATTATTAGCTAGACAAGGTTGGCAAGTTTTTTAACCTTATCTTGCCTGTTTCCTTGTCAATAAAGTAAAAATGCTAAACTAATTATTGTCAAGATTTGGTAACTGTGATTGGTCTGATGCTTGTATTTTTATGCTAATTACTGGCCCTCAAGATCTAGCTACTGCCTTATCCTTGTTGTATAAACCTGCCTAAGACAGTATTCCTAATTGGTTAATAAAGAAGGCCTGCACCTGAGCAGGGCAGAAGAAGGTGGGCGTGGCTAAGGTTCCTGGGCTTTGAGTTGAAGAATCAGGGGAAGTAAACAGAAAGACTGGAAGAGAGGAGGAAGGAGGACACCATGATGGATTAGCGATGTAAGGTAAGCAAGGAGAAGGAACCACAGGGGCCTGCAGGAAGGACTCTTAAAGTGGCGTGGAAAGGAGCGATCCAGATGAAGGATAAGCAAGTATTTATGGAATTATGGATGGGAGATAGGCCAGAAAGGAATGGCTAAGGCAGATGGCTTGGATTGGGGGCTGGGAGGTGGATGCAGAGGTTACTGAGATGGCGTAGGTGGAATTATCTGCCCAGCCCAAGGTGGTATAAGGCAATTATAAAATCTAACAAGTGTCTGTGTCTTAACAATTGTGATGACAGAATAAATAATACCCGTAATAATTGTAGGGCAAATAATAAACATACTTAGCCCAATACCATTTAATTTACAACAACAGGTAACTGACTAAATGCAAAAGAGGCATCACAGAGGACATGGAAAAATAAGAAAGTTTGGAGAGCTGAGAGGTAACATATTCTATTTGGTATAGAAGAGTTACAAACCAGCTGATCCATAGATGACCAGGAATATGGGTTCAGAAACTATGGAAAACAAAAACAGGTTCTGTATGTATGTGTGCGTGTGTGTGTCCGTGTAGAAAGTACACTGGAACACAGATAAACCTAATATCAAGGAGCATTTTCAAAAACTTTCATAATACAGCATTTTATTTCAAAATGTCCATTGTAGCTAAAATGTAAAACATCACCCATAGGCTCACATGTTTCCATACTAAGCCCCAAATTGGTGGTGCTACTTTGGAAAATTGTGAATCTTTAGGGGGCAGAACCTCAGGAGTAGACTTCTTGAGGTTTTATAGCCCAACTTCACATTCATACATACACATACATTACACACATATGTATGTAAATAATGTATATGCATATACATGGAAGATATCAGCACACTCAGGAAGACCTAGTGTAATTCAGTTTTAACCAAATCTATTTAGTAAAGGTGTGCCTGTGGCTCTTGTCATCTTGCAATAGCAAGAACATGATCACTGGAGTTCCGCCACATTCTTTGGATTGGCTCTGCGTAGGCAATCACAGTAACATATACAGTTCCTTTCACATTTACTATCCTTTTTTTCCCACTTTAAACCTTCTAGAATTGGTAGATCTCCTTTTACAATGTCATCTATTTCCTCTCAGATCAACAGAATTCAACACACTGGACAAGAGCTCGCTGAATGCGCAGCTGTTCGTTTGGTCAGAGAATGAGTGGCTGCTGGCCCTTCTCTTGTATGTGCATTCTAGGGAATCGAAATAGGTCCTAATGCTTTTTAAAAACCCTCAAAGATAAATTTCAGTTTTTAAAAAGTTTATTTTTATTAAATTTTTATTTTCTTTTAAAGTTGTTCTATTGTCCATTTTCTCCCTTTCTTGTAAGCACAATGCATGGTTAACTTCCCAAGAGCAAAAATTATTTCAAAAGCATCATTTAGAATCCCCAAGTGTGAAATGATGGCCAAATAAGCTTTTTCTAAAAGATAAACCCGAGAGTAGGAGGCTAGGTGGTTCAATGACCCCTTCGTCCATGAAGATCTGAAAGACACGTTGTCACTCAGCTATGCTAAGTCTAAGCTGCTTGGGGACATGGAAGCCTCCAGTGGCTTCCAGAGTAGCCTGAACACTAGTATACTGGCCCCACCTTGAAAAAATAAAAGAGAAAAAGAAAAATGAAGACCAACTTAACTTTATATTTCTTATTCTCATTTTTCAATCCCTAAAACAAAAATCATCCCTTCTTGGACAAGCCTTAAGAAATCACCCTTTACCTGGTCTGTCTACATGGGTCACTGAGCAGAAAAAAACTGTTCCCCAAGTTTATAGGCACTTTCAAATCCTTCTAGTGTCCGGAACTACACTGTTCCATATAGCACCCAACTTGTCACAGTGTTGCTGACTGGAGACTCACATGAAAAGGGATACACTATAATGTAATCTAGAAACAAAATTTGTGACAAATAAGAGCCTATGAATAACTTATTTGTTAGAATACTCACCTAGCATGATATACAAGGCCCTGGGTTTGAGGCTTGGACCATATGTGCCAAGCATAATAATCATGCCTATAATCCTACCACTCTGGAGGCAGAGACGGGAAGAAGAGAATCTCAAGATCATCCTCAGTAAGAGAATTACTTTAAGGCCAGCCTGGGCTACATAAATCTTACCTTAAAAAACAAAGAAAAGAAAAAAAAAAAGAAAGAAACAGACAGAAGGAAGGAAGGAAGGAAGGAAGGAAGGAAGGAAGGAAGGAAGGAA